AATCAAAACATATAGATGAAGTTTTTAACTTAAAAAAATTATACTTATATACTTTTAAATTTAATTAACTTAAAAAATTACTTAAAGAAGATTCTGTTAATAGATCCCTACTATCATTACTGTGTCAAGATAAATTAATAATTGCTAATTATAAATAAAAATCAACTTATTTATTATTATATCATGTGATTAACTTGACGCATAGCAGGGCGATGTAGTTCGCATAGCATGGCGAGCAATGCCCACCCCTACCTAGAACTCCAAGAGACAATGCACATCCACTTACAGGATGTCCAAGCAATCAAATTGGCAACCTCTTATTATTATTATTATTAGTATTTATCAGAGTAACTCCATTTACAATCCTTCTAATGTGTTGGAATCAGCGATCAACAATGGAGTGTCTCAAATCATTGACATTTATAACTATTTTATTGGTACCATTTCCACAGCTATGTTTGAATTCGAAACAACTTTTAACTACTAATTTAGAATTAGTCTTTGCTGTAATGTTGGCGTGTTTTCTTTATGCTTTCTTGAATTCTAGCTAGTTTTATAAGCTTCAATCAGAGCAGTAGAAGAGCATTGAATAATAATCGCACCTGTCCTCGAACCACTAATCCTCCAGTATCTCACAATGACTCCAATAGCAGCTTCCGGGCTCAGGATCAAAGGCCCCCTCACATTGGATTTTCGACATATATAGAACTCACCTTGTGTTCTGAATTCAGAAAAATCAAGTATTCTTGAAATGCTCTTTCTCAGGGACTTAAGTCCTAAAAGTGCTTTTCCTTAAATCAAATCAAAACTAGTAATTAACCTTACAGATTAGTATACATTGTTCAAATAAAGATTCACAGACCGCATCCGGATAACAGTAGAACTCATATATTTATGAAGACTAGTGCATGACAATCCCAATTTAACACGAGGAGCAATGTTTTCCCACACAAAATACACAAGGTGGAAGAAGATCTTATCATGTCCTGCTAATTTGGCCTGATTTCGATGCCTTCAATAATGACACCACTTTTCCAGCTACCATCGAAATGGAAAATTCGTATTTCCAATTGGCCATCTTCACCTCCTTCATTGAAGTATTCACCCAACTCTAGCTCTAGCCAACCATCTCCCCTCTCTACTGGGTACCGGTAATCATTTTGTACATCTTCACCTAGCTCTGGCCAACCATCTCCCCTCTCTACTGGGTACTGGTAATCATTTTGTATATCTTCATCTTCTGCATGCAGAAACACAGTTCGCTGTGAACCTTCAGTTCCACTAAGTCGGACAGTAGCTTCTACGGGTTCATTTGTAAATCCATAAAATCCAGCTGCCAGTTTGAACTCAAGGTATGCCTTATAATGTGCCATTGAAGAAAGCTTGCAAGTACTGATCCTCCCATCGATTTCAAACCAACAAACACCGAGAAGCTCTGCACCCTCAGGAAACCTGATTGTAATTAAGCATGAATTATAGACATTAATCTTCACATATTTATTCATTTTTAGTTCGAGAAGACACTTAAAAACAGTCAACTACATGCTTGAATTCTTTTGGTTGGGTGTGAGTGAAACTGTGTCATGCATGCCTTTTGTCTGCATTTTCTGTGTGGTGTTTGCATGTGTGTGTGTGTGTGAGCTGGAATCTCGTATGGAGTTCGGAGAGAGAGAAACCTGGAATCTTGTATGGAGTTCCAACTCCAATAACGAGTATCATCCCATGTAATTGCGAGGTCCCTAGCAGCCAGCATGTAACATTTCTTCCCACTCCTTTTGTGCAGTGAAAAGCTCTATGCAATACAGGTTATACAATTAAACACTCAACTGATTCTGAAAATGTTGGCCAAAAAAATACTAGTACTGAAAAAGAATAGTTTGGAAAAGATTACTGATCAAACTTCAAAATATCAACAAGGGACCAAAGGAACACATAAACTTACCATAGAAATGACATAACCATCATTAATGATTATTACATCACCAACAAGAACATAATCCTCTAGCAAGCATATTCCAAAAAAAGGAAGCATTGAATACCCAGGCAACACATCCATAAGTTTTGTAAATTATACCAACAAAAATCCTTGTAGTTAGCTGCTTCATATAGACATGAATTCAGGACTATCAACACAAACGAAAATTACACCAAGTCATCGCCTCTTAACAAGGCATATATAGCTACACGCAAAATAAATGTTAAAAGTCCTCAAGAAGTTTGTAAAAAACAAATGTTAAAAGTTCTTAGGAAAAATCATTCACAGCAGACCAAAAGCGTGTAGCTCAATTAGCTACACAGCGATTGATTGGAAAAGGAAGGCATTATCAGAATTTGGTTTTTAAAGCTTATGACTCGGACTCAGTCCAGACAATGAAATCTTACAATATGCATATGTCGAGTGAATGCATATGAGTCAAATACCTTGCTGAGTGAAAAACTTAAAAGAGCCAATGATTAACACTACCTAAGATTGTAAGATTTAGTACTGTAAGATTTTATTAAGAAAACATGTACTCCCTCTTCTCTAGTCTGATTTAGTTATTCTAATTTAAATCTTGCATAAAGTTTGACTGTATGTAAATCAGAAAAGTGATGTGTAGTCCGCACTCATACTGTAATACTGTAACCAAGGGGCAGAATGCACATCTTATAACAAGTAATGAGGGGCAGGTCCTTACATTGGGAGAGTCTCCGTACATCAATGCTACAGTCAGCCCAAATTGTCCCCAAATCCTTACTCGAAACATAAAATCGAAAAACTCTTGTTTGGGCCGGATGGAATAATTAAATATATTCTATCGATAATTTTTATTGAGGGATTTGTTTGTTATATAAAATTATCAAATTAATTTGTATAAAATTGATGAGTTAGGAGAACTAAAATGAACCAAAGAAGGAGTAAATCATTTTCCAGTGAACACAACATACCAAACTATAAGATTATATGAGGACCGAGAAACGAAAAGATCGGAAGGCAGGTGGGAGACGAGATGTATATATTTACCTTTTTGCCATTTTCAATGAGTACAGGATGATCGCAGAGACTGAGATAAAGGTCCTTCGAGGAAGAAACGAAGCGCGACCCGGGAACCAAATTCTGATAGTCGGCCGGCAAAACTTAACCCAAACGGCGTCGGAACTGGCGACAGAGTTGAGAAAGGGGCAAACTAGGGACAATCTGCAGGCATCGAGAGGATTGGTTAAGGAGATGATGGCGGCAAAGCAATCGGCGGGAAGAGCACGGAAATCCAGCGTCTCTGGATGGAATCGTTGACCCCTCGGGCCAGTACTCATTGTGACCGTAAATGTGGAATGCCTACGGGTGGATATTGGAATTTATAAAGGGTATTTGAGGAAAGCTCAGCGGCTTAATTTAATTTTTA